TAGTGGCTTTATTTTTCAAAATTAGAGAGAGATTAAGGGCGACAAAAAATGTGAAGGGAATTGATCACTTTAAATTGCTACAACCATTACTCTGTTGACAGAAAAGGACTATCAATCCAATCGTCCCTAATCTCATTTAGGAGATTAATTGAGAAAATGGTAATGACATGATAGGTTTAAATTTAATGGTAGTGACGACGATGCATCGGGTGCATCCAATGTGACCGGTTTTGGCACTGCTTATCTTTTGAGTTTTGACTCCTGTGTGGGACATGGACATGAAGGCACCGCACACTTGCAGCTACAGGAATGAAATGGATGATTGGTGAATGTAAGAAAGAAGAATTAACTGGACGGACAACTTCGAGGTCGAGGATAATGGATTGGTGAGGTCGATGAAGCCCAATTATCTAGGTCCATGGACCTTGAAAATAAAACATAAATTTCAGCAAATACACAAATGGCTGATATATATATATATATATATATATATATATATATATATGAAAGAGCCAAATGGTCTTCCATTGTTGGTACAAGACTACAAGTGAGCACTTGTATGGACCGTGGTTTTAGATGTCGGTGATATTTCAATTTCCGTCAAAGCCACTGACACGATCAATTGGAATGAAATTGAAAAGGGATTACTGATTAATTTACAACAAAATTTAAAAATTTGATTCTACCTCACCCTATCAGTACCCGAGCTCATAGGGCTTGAGCAAAGGTTTTTAAAATCGAATCAGACAATGAACCTTTAATGGATTTGGTTTCTAGGTCAAATGGTCTGATCATTTAAATCGAATAGATGGTTTATTCTGACAAAAAATAAAATAAATTAAAAAAATAAAAAACAGCCAAAAATCATTGTCCGGCTCAATGGCTCAACTACCCGGGTCAATGATTCATTGATCAAATCAATTGATTTTTTACCAAAAAACAATTTTGAAGTAAAACGAAACCAGTCAAATGACCGATTCTCGGTTTTTCCAGTCCAATTTTAAAAACATTGGCTTGAGCTTCAATTCAGCTCATCCCTCTAACCACAAATTTTAATTTCAAATTAGCACATTAGAAATTGAACTAGAGCGCTAGTAGTATGATTTACAAGCCTTACTTTACGTAATCATAAACCATTGAAGTTGAAGGTGCCATCTGCCTTTGTTCTGTTGCTGGTTGTTGCAAAGTTTTGAGATCGAATTTCATCTTCATGTAACCATTAATAGAATAATGGATCAAATCTGGATTGGACCCAAGTATTTATTTTCCATCTCTGCATTCAACTAGAATACGGCCGAGTGAAATGAATAACAAAAACTGGTAACCTCACGTCCAAATCCCATTTCTTACATGTGGTAATTAAACAAGGAGTTGAGGTAGTAGAGTTTAACACTACTCAAAGCCGAGGTGCTCATTAATTAATCCTCAGATCTCATCCTTACCCTCAACCCACTCTTTCTTTTGTATGGCTTAATTTTTTTTTTTTTTTATCCGTTCGATAATTGCAGCTATATTAAATGCTGTGATGAGATAGCAAGGGAGAGAAGCAATTAGGGTTGTTGTGATCATTAAAGCCTGTGAAATTTAGGTGGGAGGTGTTCCAACTTCCAATTGCAAGGGAAAGAACCATAAATATTCAGACCATAATGGAGTGGAGGTACATACTAAAATGTTCCAATTCTTACTTGCATCATTGCATCCAGTTTTTTGTATATACTAAGCAAATGTACATGTTTTTGCACATGGTAATTTTTAAATGATGGTGATGATAGTAATAATATATATTTTTTAATTTTTCTATATTTTTATGTATATAAAATAATTCCTGTTTATCATATTTATTTTTGTTTGACAAGATGAATATGTAATATCAGATATGTGCCCATATGTCTTCTACAAATTTTTATATTGTTCATAATTTTTTTGTATTTTTATCTTTTTTTTTAATGCTAATTATTTAATTACAATATTAACAATTAATGCATCTGACCCAACTATCACCAAACAAGAAAATAATTTCATTTTTGTGTCTATTTTAAATTTTATAGTTCATTTCCATCATTAATAAAAAAATTTATTGTTTATCACGCTTATTTTTCTTTAATATATGATTAATATAAAACATTATAGGTGTGTTCAATTTTTTCTAAATATTTGTATTTTTGTGTTTATTTCTATCTTAAAAATTTTATTATTTAATTAATGACATCATGGATTGATGCATTTGTCTCAGATGGTTGAATTGCTTAGCCACCACTCAATGGAAGAACTATTTTGTTTTTTTTTTTGTCAGTTTTAATAAAATATATGAATTTTATATTGTTAAAAGTATTAAATATAAATATAATCAATAAAATTTAGGGATAAGTAGATTGCACTCCACCTCAGAATTCTGAATTAAATTGTAGATCTACAATAATTCAAAATTATAAGCACCTCCAACTATAACACCCATACCCGCCCGTGAATTGGCATCAATTCCGAGCTGGCACCTACCTCCAACTGTATGGTGGAGTTAAGATTTCTGGGGGTGGATTGAATAGTAAAAACCCCAATAATTTATCGGTGAAAAAAAATACCTTAAATATAAGATTTAATGAAAGAGAATGGAAAATAGTTTTTTTAATTTTTTTCTTTTTGTGGGGGTGGGGAAGATATAGATATTAGTAGGTTTGGTCGATTACAAGTGAACGATATATGGGATGGGCTGCATTGGGTTCGATATCCCTTCTTTATTCAGTTCACTCGGATTCAAGTTGAATCAAACACATAGGAAACCTGTCATTTAGAAATCCCTACCGAGATGGCTTTTTTTTTATTTTTTGAAAAATACCAAGATGGCTAATGGGTGCCAAGCAAATAGGCTGGCTGTTAGGGAAAAAAACAGCTTAGATTGTTTTGAAGCTTCATGCGTAGGACATGTTACCCATTTAGTTGGAACCCGGACGCTCAATATGAGCGGCTTTTTTGTAGCAGCTTAATCCAAATGCAAAAGTCCTTCCAAATGGGGACTCAGTAAGGAATTCAGATCGGCTAAATCAATAGTTGTATAACTAATGGTAATGCCCCACATCAGTTATGCCATCGAGTGGTTGTGGGTTTCCGGGCCATATGCATGACTGACACGCGGCATTATCATTGGATCTACAAACCTGTTATATAACGAGTTCAGATTGCTCCCACAAGTTCACATCGAGCGATATTTTTAATGTACAGTTGGTTGGGATGTGTTATGGGGCATTGATGTGAATTCATTCAACACAACACTCTTTATATCATGTCCTAACATGCACACCAGGAATATCTCCCATATTTATATCTATTTTTCATCAGTAGATGTTCTCAATGCATGATAGGATGTAAGGAGCGCTCCCTAAAATTCCAATTCCTATATATATCCCATCTGGCTGGTGTGGGTGTGTTGAGTATTATCTGCTATACAGCCATTACGTGGTAGATTAAGCTTAACTTGACAGCTTTGTTTCAGGTTATGGGAGCAAGATTTGGCTGAACGCTTTATCTATTTAATAAATAGACCGTTGAACCAAATGATAAAATTTCACACCAATATTTAAATACATGGACTCCGTATTTTCACAGTGGGGTCTATAAATTTATTATGAGCTTGAAATCTCATAATTTATTCACAACCGGCTGAAGAGCTAAAGCGTTGAAACTGATCCCACGGCCGAATTCGAAATGAACCACCGGCGTTGGCTATTATGATTATGATTGATCCACGGCCCAAACACAATTAACAAATTCAGCTAACCCGAATTCATTATTGTGGCGTGGAAGGAAGCTAGGTTCCAAGCAGCCAAAGCTCCCCAGCTGATGTGATTTCTTTTCCGAGACATCTCATTGACTTACGGCTGCAGATCTCATCCGAGTAATAGTATTATTAGATCGGTGAGTTTCGGAGTGGGACCTTTTACTGACATGAGAAATGGGTAGGTCCTTCTTTAGCTTAGGCACAGATAGAAGGAAGGTCCAACCGTCCAAGTGTCCCTTTCGCACACGTGGAAGTAATTACGAACCCTCCTGGCTTTCACTTCCAGTCCCCGGATTGCTCCCAAATGCACATTCCTCTATGTCCCTCTTCCCTCTCCCCTTATCTCGGATCGGGTCTCCAGTTACTTGACCGACCCTGAGAAATCAGAAATCTTCCCCCGTCAATCAAACGGTGGATAAGGGTTATGACAGGCAAATATGTATTGACCACTTGATTACAAATTGGATGTGCTCAACGGGTTTGACAAGTATGAGAGATAGAAGTCTGAAGTAGAACACAGAATAGAGTAGGATGGTCCGAAATGGCGAAACCCGAATCCCCTCCCCCGTTTGCGTAGCGTGCGGGTGTGTAGTGGATGTATAGGAATAGGATGAGCAGCCTAGTTAATTAGATTAAATTTTAATTAATTATCCGACAGTAATTTAAATTTTAATCACTCAGCAAGCAAGCGTGGCATTCATTTAAATTTTAATTATATTATATATAAAATAAAAACAAGGGAGTGAGTCCAAGTGGTGCATAAAATAATCTCGAATATAGAGAACGAGAAGGAGAACGAGAACGAGGGAGTACACTGTACACCCCAACCCCCAACACATTGACCTACATCCATTGATTTGCTTTCTAATCTCTGCCGTTTACTTTAGCCCGTAGAGACATGATGGAAAGATCCTATGTTTAGTAGGAATTAAAATCCACACAAGCAAATAGAAACAGGGTTATTTTTTGTCATTTGGAAATTAGAATGATCTATCTCTCACTCGCTCCGTGTCTGTCTCTCATTGATTGATGTATTAAGTATTAAGAAATTCGTATATGCCATGTATTTGCGTGCATATATATGTTTTCGTCTCATCAATCTAACAACAAAAAATAGAAGCTGCATTAAAATTTACAAGGGCTCCTCATCCACCCTCCAGTCCTCTAAACATACTCAAATAAAAAACCAAACTTTTCCTATGTTTTAACTTTTGAAGGGGAAGAGACTAGAGAGAAAAAAACTGAAGAGAGAGAGAGAGAGAGTAGTAGTAGAGACTAGAGAAAGGAGATAGAACCATGTCTATGTCCTTGTCTAATTGTCTATGTCCTTTCACTTGGCTACATTGTCCATAACAAACAATCGGTACGTCTAGGCCAAGATTTCGCATTTTCTCGTTCAAAACTCTTGTTATTTCTCCGTCTCTGCTTCCTTCTTGCATGCTTTAAGCACCATAGACACCATCAACATGCTTGCAACTAACCATATCTACCCGTAACAGTCTTTGCAATTTGCATGTTTTGCTTCTTATACCCTTCACTCATCCCTTCTGATCTCGAGCTTTCTTTATGTTCCTGTCGTGGTTTCTGGGTTTACGACTACTGGGTCTTTTCTGTACGAATTATCTTCTTTTTCTTTAATTCTATTTGGTCGACGTTGGTCGGTCTCTCACCTCTGAATCGATTGACTTCTCGACTTCCCATGGGACCCGTTAGAGGGCTCAAGAGAAAAAGGAAGGTGGAGAAGAAGGTCGAACGAAACTCGTCGGCCGCTCCAGCACCGTCAGAGAAAGAGCAGGAGCCTGTCGATTGGTGGCACGAGTTTTCCAAGAGGATTACTGGTATGTCTTCAATGTCTTCTTACCTTTTGGTTACTTATTTACTTCGCTTTTCTTTTTGATGCGGTATTATTTTTGTACATTGTTTTTATTTCTTCAACATACATATAAGACATAGATGCTGGTCTTGCTGCTGGGTCCAAGCAGTGTGTTAGTTATCAAGTTTCTAGTTAGGTTTTATCTGTGCTCGGTGGAATTGTAGCACACGGGTTAAATCTAGTTCAGGCGATTGGATCGACTCCATTGTTTCTTACGGTTATGCTATGTTGAGAATGCATTTGAGTACTTAAGAAGAGGACCCCCAATCTTCCGATTTATGCTTCTGTTTAGTAATCTGCTTTCTGCTTGACATCGTGGGTTTATTTTAATACATTCAGAAAACTAGAAGATTCAGTGGCACATGGCATTCACTACATTTTAGTAAAGTTCCATCTTGGGGCAAGACTTTGTTCCACCCTTGAATTTGAATTCAGTAAGCAAATTGAACAGTCGAAGAACTTGTCGTTGCCTGCCTCTGCATCTAATTATTCATCTTGTGATGCTGGCAGAAGATGGAACTCGTGAACAATTTAGAATTTCATTTGTTGTCTAATGCAATTGTATAATAAAGCTATTCAAATTGGTATACAGTGTAAGGGACACAATGAAACGTTTTATGCATGTAATTTGTAGCCATTGATTCATTAAGCTACAACACAGGGTGCAAGGGGCTTCGGGATATATTTCCTGTAGACAAGAAGCAGCATTCTTTGTCCTTTCAACATTTATTATGCTTTAGGTTTTGTTAACACTTTGAGCAAGTCCCATTATTTCCCCCTTTTTAATATGTTAAAGTGGGGGTGTTGTGTCTTCCTTTTATTCCTTCATGTTTCTAGTGATAACTTTTTCTTTTCTTTTTTTTTTTTTGTAAAATTTCAGGGCAATAGTTTTCTGTATAAAGTAAAGAAGGCAACCCAATATTGGTCCTGGCTATCCAGGGTCTTGGGACTGGTTGACTGGATACAGACCTAACCTTTGTCATCTTTTGCACGAAGTGGCTACTCTCAGACCTGAATCTGTGTTCTCATGCTTGCAGGACTCTTGTGTATAAAGTGTCTAAATCAATGTCATAATGTCTCTTTGGAGATATCTGATAAAATTATAATGATCAAGGATTAAAATTTCGCAATGTGTCAGAGACCCTTTGATACACTCATACAGTAACTTTTTCAGGTTTTGACTTGTTTCACGGGGTGGACAGGCCTTGTACTGATCCCCCTGAACAGGTTTGACAAAAAAAACTAAAGAAAAAGGTAAAGCACCTACCAATACAGACCGATATGCCCAGTGTATCTATCTATATCGATATTTAGAACCTTGATAATGATATAGAAAACATTAAGATCTAAGCATGGCCCCCTTATGTAAGAATGACAAGTTCAAACTGGGAAAATCAACTTTGTCATATACTGATACTATATTGTCCTTTTCTTGATACAATTAAATCCTTCCTATTTGTTTTTTGGTTGTTAATCAATGGTCGGGACACTTATAGCATCTGGTGTCATCCATGTTCTAGGAATCTAAGGGTGGAAAGAAAAACTACTATACGTTTTAGTTATGCTGAATCTCTTTTAAGTATTACAGCTGGTAAGAATATTTCGATATTGAATTATAAAAGTCTCTTCATTCTTTCTTTCTGTAGATTCTTGATTGAAGGTCATCATGTTGATTTTTCAGCTTCAAAAGCTTATGAATGGGGTGCCACAGTATGGATTGGGCAAATGAACTACCTATACTAACCTTATTACCTTATTTATAAAAAAAGAAAATACTTTATTCATCTTACATGGCTACCCAGATTTTAAATCAGTTTTCAGATTTTCCTGAGAAGGGGGATTGAACTAGTTTCCCTTTGGTTTATTGGTAGTGGATGATAGGTGAAGTATATCTCATGGGACTCTCTTTTACCTTTAGTGCATTGAAGGAACTTTAAATCCTAGATATGTTGTTTGACATGCGATAAATAGGCCACCACAGATGTTGGAAATCCAAAGAAAGAATTGTTGTCCTCATGGATCATGGTTGTAACTAATTCATAGTAATGAAACACGTTTTTGGGGTATTTTAGTTCCATGGGTTATTTAGAAGCTTAAGAAGAGCCTTACAATGTGGCCTATTTAGCCTATAAAAAGATGGATGTTCTATGCTTGCCTGCTAAAATCCCCCTGTACACCCTAACAGATCTCGGTAAGATATCAAATGGATTTGAGAATTTCATTATCTAAGAATAGATAGACTGGTAATTGTTGTAGGTAGAAATTCCTATTAGACTTTCTTCTCTTTTTATTTATCCCAGATCTCAGCTACATACTTCAATAGGGTGTTCTGCTTTCTTTCCCTGTTTGTTGCATCAAAAGAAGCCATATTGAGATTTTAGGATTGAAATTAGTAAACCAGTGTGCATTGAAAATGACACTCTCAGGTGATTTTCTTGTATCTCAAGGTCATACCTTGTTAAGTTCCAAGGTGGCATTTTTGCTAAAAACAGAGTTGACAGAATTAAGAAAATGAATTGACGAGTGAGAAAACAAATTCCTGTAAACAAAAATAATGTGCAACAATACAAGTAGTTGAATTTACAAATAAAAATTCAAACTGTTTAGTATTTCTACAGGTTCATTTGGTGATTTTGTGCTTGTATGTGACACCAGGAAAGTCAGATTATACCATTTACAAATTTGTAGTAATTGTTCTCTATCTGCGGCTCTAGAAGTGGTTATTCAATCCTTCAGTTGGACACTGAAAGGGATCTAAAGTCCAAATTATGTTTCCTTGAAGCAAATTTTTTCAAATGAACTAGATGAAGTTAAACAGACTTGGACTTACCGATTAACAGAGCGAAATGCAGTTGGACAAACAAAGACAACTCATTTTCGGTGAAGCTTGACAGGTTTCTAGTGATTATGGCATGTGAACGTTTACTGGAAATCATTCAAGAAGCTCTTCATTGACCATATAGGGCCATAGAGCTACCCTCCTTAACTGTACGGGAAATATTCAAAGACTAGATCTTTTCAAATATTCAAACTTAAGCCATGTTTTTGCCAGAATCTTTGAGAACTAAAACTGAATCTCAATGAAAAAAGACCATTACCCAATGTTGGTCCCACCTATCTGGGGCCTTGGGAGGGGTGGACTGGATATGGTCCTAACCTATAGCATTTTTTTTCCACATAAAGTGGCCACTCAGACTCAACATTGGTCCCACCTATCTGGGGCCTTGGGAGGGGTGGACTGGATATGGTCCTAACCTATAGCATTTTTTTCCACATAAAGTGGCCACTCAGGCTCCCATTACACCAAGTAATGGCCCCTAAAACTGAACCTCAATGAACGGGGCAAAAAATGTATTAAAGAACTTTAAGTAGGAAAGTTGAACTCTTGATATTCATCCATATCCAAGTTGGATAATAGAGAACAAGGACCACTTTCAGACTTCAGCTAAAGTTGGTAGTAGGAGCTTAGAAAAGCAAAATTATGATTCGATAACTTGTCAATTCAGTCTTAGAGGTTGAAAGTTTGTTTACAGATTATAGTTGGACGTACATGGTTGTATTGGTTCCATTATACAAATCTTTAGTGTGGGGTTACACTTTCTGTATTTTGCGATACATATTAATGAAAGTATGCTTACCTTCCTCAAAAAAAAAAAAAAAAATCAGTAACATATCAAGAGGAGGTGAAATAAATGCAAAGTGTCAGAAGTGAGCTCATCAAACCAGTAGGGAGACAATAGTTGTTTTTTCCCATGTAGTAGCAAATGCAAAGAGAAGAGAGAACCACATAAAAAGGCTAATGATGTATGGCATAATTGTCTAGGTGTCACCTAGGCAACAAAATGCTCTTTGTGGGGCACCTTGCCTAAATGCCATGGCTTATATAAAAAAGAGATGCCCAACAGGCGACTTAGTGCCCACCAAGGCAATAAAAGTAAAAGGCAGATGCCTTATTGTAAATTATTACCATAGCTACATCTTGGTACTATGTTAATACATCATATCATATATTATATATGTTGTTTATTCTTTGTTTTAATGATCTTGTCATTAAGTCATGAAAGATCAAAATGCCTTAAAAAGAGAAAAAGGAAGAAAGAAGAGAAAGATAAAGAGTGTTCTTCTTTTAAGGATCTTGTTTTAAGAATCTCTCTCCTCTTACATTAAATAGATTATTTTTCCTTTTTGTTACTCTCTCTCTCTCTTAAACTTTTTACTAGTATGAAATTATAGCCTTCTTTATTTGCTAATGATTTTTTTGACATGCAATTCCTCTTTTGGATACTTATTATGTTTAGTGTCATCTTGAAATATTGAAATTAATTGACTTACAATGCTATTGTCTTTTCGATACAATAATTTACTATGTTTTGAGAGGAAAGTCAATATTTTTAGTAAAGAGAATTGTTTTGAGAGGAAAGACAATGCTATTGTTTTTTCGATACAATAATTAATTGACTTACAATGCTATTGTCTTCTCTATCATCATTAGTATCCCACTCAGTTGTTTCATAATGATTATCTCCTCCCATAATACCTGAATTGATGATTAGCACACTGAAAGTGACTTCTCCTAATGAGTATTGTTCACCTCTATTGTAAGATGATAAACTTTGGCTATATTTTGAGCTTGTGAGTAGGTCTCTCCTTTGCCTTATCTCAAGCCTTGGTTGTAGAAAGAAAAAAAAGAAGTTCAGGCTACCATAAGGCTGAATAAAACTCACTGGCCACAACATTACCATTAAGTTTTTTTGTTCTCATTTAGAGTACTTGGGACTTTTAACATCAATCTAATGGAAATATTTGGGGTGTCATTGTAACCAGTTCCGGACCCTTTCCTGTTCAAGCTAGCATGGTTGTTTGATTGGTTCTTTGCCTCAGAAATCCTCTCCATAATGTTACAAATACACCATAGTCACAGCAAAAGGCACTGGTGGCACTGGTAGTGTCAAACAACAGCATCCT